ACTGTCTGGTACAGAAAGGCTATATCATTACACAGTGAAGAAACTCCTACAAATATAAATATTTGATTATGATGGTTTATTAGCCTTTGATTTTTTTAATTATCCTAATTAAATGGCTAATCTGAAATAAAGATTATATAAAAGCAAGTCTTTTGAACTATTACAGATGGAAGTAAGCATTACAGAGGAATTAAGTACCTGATTGAACTGTTGTTGGGATTCTTTAGGTCCTGATGAAGCTTTATCACCCATTCCTGATATTCTTGCTTCTGGATAGCAGTAGACTGTTTTAATTCATTGGTCCATTTGTTCTCCAAATCCTAACATGACAAACATGATAATTTTAGTGTTTTGGGTTTTCTTATTAACACAATTATTTCCACGATGTATTCTAGTTCACTGAACTTCATTTACCTGCTGAGATTCAAAATGCTGAGCCGCGAGCGAATTTACGTCTTGGTCTGTTAGCGATTTCCCTAGCTCCTGCATCACCTTATCCATTTCCGCTCCTTGCCTGAAAGGGAAGCCAACCTAGATTTACAACAAGCAACACTTTCAAAAAACTAGCAGAAGAATACCCATTGCTGTTGACACAATTACTGATACAATGATAAGTTGTATCAGTCAGCTGGTCGGTGCTCATCACAAGCAGAGATACAGCTGAACACACAGCTGAAGGACACGTCATGCAGCACTTTGTCCATCTGCTCATTTTGGAAGTCTGCCCTCACAGACATTCAAAAGAAGGTACACCAGTATTTCCAGATACTCTAATACAGCACTTCAATATCCTTCTCATCAGAAGAGCTTTTGAAATGGACCTACTTGGTCCCCTGCTTTCCTCCTGCCCCAACCACAGATGACGCAGACACGCAAACACCAGGAAGTAGGCTAAACACACTTATTTTTAATAGTCAGATGAGCTTCCAGCTCAAACTACATTCATCAAGGGGACCTGGGGTTAAAGGGCTGCCCTGCTGTCATCAGTTCATCCAATACCTCGTCCCTCCTTAGTCTTCTTAATCCCTGGCTTCACTTCACCTTTCATATTCAGCCCTTTCTTCAGCAAGGAATCGATTCACCCTTGCACAGATCTAGCAGTGAATACCCACAAAACAAATTTGAGTTGAGGGTCTGGGATTCCAATTCAGCTCCCATGTAAACAGAACAACACCCACGCTCATCTGGGATAGTCTCAGCTGCCACCGACATATGGAGTTTCTTGATTATGACAAATAGATACGATAAATTCCTCTGGAGTCTGTGTCACACTAGAGCTCTACAACATCACTGCTCTCAGGATTAATTGCTTTTTCTTCTAGATGCATACTTTAGAAGACTCAATAAACAGCAAAAAGTTTTGCTAACACATTACTGGCAACATTTATCCCCAAATTACAGACACGTAAGATTCAGTCTTAAAGAAACTACATGAACAGGCATGCATTGTACAATGTGAGCTAAAACACATGCAACTCAGGAGGAACACTTAGAATGCTAAAATATACTGACTTAGAATATTCTGGCATCTCATAAGCATCCCTAATGTTTAGTATCTATATTATTCCTATTTCATAGAAAGGAATTTTCCTTAACCTACTCAGTCTCGAAAGAGAAAGAAGATTCCGCGTTGTATGTGTCCCCTCTTGTGGGCAAAGCAGCCACCTGCAGCTATTCAAGCTTACTCGGAAACTCAGGATCCCACACACACTTTCCTAAATTCCAAAGTCAACAGTTTCTAACTTAAAGTTGGTTCCAGTCTTTTGCTCATCTTTTCACCTCTTGGAGATTCCAATTTTCCATTTCAATTGCATCACTAGAAAGGAAAATATTTATTTTCTAGATATCCTAGGCACTTCTCATTGCTATACCACTTACAGCATGGATAGAACAATGGAAATCAAACCTTATACTATTTTGATGTCCTGAGCTTTATTATTTTCAGTGACTGAGAATAATGTACGATAGCTGACCCTAACAATATAGGATAAGTATTATAGGACTTTAAATAGGGAAACAAAACCTAAAATAGGGCTTACATAGACAAATACAAGTCGACACATGCTGTCCTACAAGTTGCACGCACACAGTGGCATGCACCCCATTTAATAAGATAGGAAAAAAAAAAGAAGGAATACCTTTCCCGTAGTTTTTTCAATTCCACATCTCTTTCACTTATTAATTCTGAGATACTAACAAAATAATTGTGTTCCAGGTTTAACAGCATTTCAGAAGCTGGAGAATGTATCAGATCATGATAAACATCGGCAAAATCTTCATCCCAGCTGGTTTCTTCAGGTTTTGTATATTCTAACGTTGTCTAAAAATTATAAGAGATTTTAAAGCATAAGGTACCTTTTAGGAGATATAAGGATCCCTCGCAACGGTGGGGCAAAACCAACCAGGCACATACACTGTTGCACAACCTTCAACATACAGGCATTATTTTTCCTAATTTGAGCTTTTTGTATTCAGCTACAGATTTAACATTTTCTCCCTTCCCATATTCTTTCTCTTTCAAAGCAACTAAGAGCAGAAACATCAAGGGTTTGACTACAGCCATGAAGTAGCAATTTTCAGCCATCACCAACTTGGAAAGAACAATAAAATTACAACAATATTTACAACTGATGAATTTTAGATAGGGCCCAAAACACAGCTGTGCAAACAAAAATTTTTTGCTAGAAAGGATGACTAACCTCTGATGTCACCAGAATTTGACCAACAACACTGATTTAAGAAAAGCAATTTTTATTGAGCAGACGGCCCAAAGATGCCAGTTTTGCAAGCTCCTTTATACTGAAACACTCCTTATATTTGCAGTAATTCCCACCAGATTCAGCTGACGAATTGTGATTGTATCATTGAAGTACAGGTTGTAAATGTCAAGAAATTATCTAATCCTAACCCTTGTACTCCGGCTAACCTATTCACAGAAACCGCTAGCACAGAAGACTGCAAACTATTTCGATGTTTTACTATATTTCCATGCTCACCCAATACAGATTTTTCTTTCATAAAGGTTAAGCTAATTTCATTTTGTTGATGTTCACCAAGGCAGATGATTTTCTTCCAGTTCTCTTTATAACAGACATCTGTTTTGGAATTTTTCACAACTTTCATCTATATTCCATGATAAGCAAATTCAATACCTATAAACTTTTCCTCAAATGCTTCAGTTCCTGTCATTCTTTTTTCCTCTTCACTAGGACTCCTCCGTTCTTCCACATTCCTCTGTTTGAAAGATCACCGGCAAAACTGGATGCATTACTCCAGCTAAAGCCTCATCTTCGCAAAATAATGTAAAGTAGTCACATGAACTCACGAAATGAGCTGAAAAGTCTCTTTCCACTATATACTTTCTCTTTGGAGTTTTCATTGCTATTTTTGAGATTGAGGACAGGAGCACCCATTCACTATCTCTTGCTTTAGTTCTACCGCATTATAACCCTTAGGTCTATTTTTGTTTGAATATCACTGCCTATTTACTTCTCAATTTTACATCTTTTGACTCTACTAAATTTAGAAAAAACCTGACTAAGAAATCATACGATGAAGACTTCATGACCACCTTCAGATAAAAAGAAGAAAATGTAAGAAATGATCAGAAAAAGTGAATTTCAGTGTAATTTTGCATCTTCACATACGTGATTCTGTCTGTACATGCACACACACTCTGACAAAGCAAGTTCTGAATATTAACTTTTCAGCCTTAATCTTACCTCTTTATAAGCTTTAGCCCAAGTATCTGCCAGCTGGTTTATGTCTACTTTTCCTGATTTCACTGCCTCCAGAGCCAGTTCAGCTTCTGTATCATAATCTTTTATAGTTTCCTCTTCTATGAACTTATTAAGGGATTGCTTCAGGTCTATTATAACAAGAAGAGCATGGTCCATCAACAAGACATGTCAATGGAAGTATCAGTAATCATCTATTAAACACAGAAACAAAGCCTTTCTGGAAACCTTTTACTTGGACACCTTACTTGCTAGTACTAACAGTAATTTTCTTCACTGTTTTGCTGTTTCAGAAAGACCACTTTTTTTTTTTTTTAAGACCCTTCTAGTAAACCCCCTTCTTTTGGTTTCCCAAAGCAGGTTGTAATACACTCTGGGACATGGACATATGACATTAATTTAAGAAATCAATTCTTACCATTTTCTATAAAGCATGGCAGATTGTGCAGAAGCATTAGACGTCCATGCAAATGACTAATATTCTCCTGGACAGGGAATTTGAGAGGCACGGTAAGCACTAAATGTTGATTTCCAGCATTGAATTTGTACACATAGTCTCTCTCCCTAGTGCAGGTCTTTCCTTTATTAGGCTTCATCTTCTTCAGTTGATTTCCTGAAGCACCAGTGAAAATAACCTGAGTTACATTCTTGTAAAATCGTAAGTTAAAAAAGACAACTAAAAACATTGTTAATAATTAGCAGCTTCTAGAAAGAAAACTTAAAACCCCTAATTTTTCATAGATATTCACCTTAATTCTGACTTCCAAATACATAGGTTGGAGCTGAAGCATAAATACCAATTTCCAAAACACTGAGTGCTTCTAAACTGTAACTGATTGTATCAATATTTGAACCTGGCTAATTAGTCTTACAAACTACAGTATAAGCTCCCTGACTTACAGGCAGAACCCAGACAGCAGG